CCTAAGAGGCACAATGATCCTTGGTTAAATGAAACAGAATTATTGTACAACCAATACAGCAGAGTGATACCCCAAATTAGACAGAAGCTGAGAGCAACCCCACTGTATATTTAATAAGGCTTGCTGCACTAAGCCCTAGATTTCAGAGCAGCCCCACAGCAAGAGAACAATGCTGTTTCAAATGTATCCAGTGTCAGAGGCACTCCAGCAATTTGGAGTGTAAGCCCCAGGCTAGCTCTGTCTGCAATAATCTGCAGGCTTGACTCTGTGACAGATTGAAATGCAGTAATAGTGTTTATGCAACTAATTCTTGTTCTAATCTATTAGTTTATGTAACCTTTGCTCATGGACATACTGACTCATAGGTCTCAGGAATCTAAAGAAAATCTCCTTTAACTCTCTCCCATCCTTCAACCCCCGTTGCCCAATAAACAGGTTATCAGAGATCTTGTTCATTCTCTTTAAGGAAAAATTATGTAGGCAATGGGAAAAAAGGTATCAGTTAAATTTCTCAAAACCTGTGTACTTCTCCATGCATACCAATGAAGTCATTTAATAAGCTCACCTGTGATGTGCAGGTGTCCTTCAGGTTAGCATTTCCAGCCACAGCGTGTACCATTTGAGCTGGGAAAGGCACAGCAATTGGTTACTTAGCTCCTGCAGAGAAAAATTACTACTTTCTAGCATTTAGACTTTTTTTTTCCTAAGTAAAACAAGGCAACAATATCTGTGTCAGTGACACTTATTCTTCCTAGCTTGAAAGATTTATTTTCATCCTTCTCATATTTCTTGTATTTCCTAGAACATTCTCACATCTATTTTAAGTAAAGAGCTGACCACAGGAACAGTGTGCAGAATTCCTTCTGCAGCAGTCACAACTCTAGTGATTACCACACAAAACATGCCCACATCAGCTTATTTTATCCCTTTCTGGCTAGGCTCTAATATAGATTTTTTGAAAGAATTGGAGTCAGATCAACCCTTTTTAAGTTTTTTGGGTTGTGGGGTTTTTATGTTTGTTTGGGGTTATTTGTTTTGTTTTTGGGAGAGGGGGTTCTTTGTGGGGAGTTTTTAGTTGGGTTTTTCTGGTGTGGGGGGGGGTGGATTTTTTTTGTTGTTGTTGTTGTTGTTTTGCCTAGAGGTTTTTTTGTTATTTTTTTTGCCTAGGTTTTTTGGGTTTTTTGTTGCCACTGGAATAGTTCACACAGCTGCTGCACTGTTGCTCTCATGATACCTGTCAAGTACACTACACCTGATTTAACTTCTAACCCTTCGTATCGAGGATTTCTACACAGACCAAACCTGATTGACAACAACTGGAATCAAAAATATTTGGAGCCAAACCCTATGGTGTTGGGTGTATTTAGGAGATATCATCATGTATTTTTGATGCATGCTGGACACTACCAGTACTAGATAAATGCTCTGTAAATGGACCAGGCACTCCTCATTACTTGTCACAACAGCAGTGTAAGAATGGGCAGAGTGGCTCTTTCTAGTAAATTCCTTTGCAGGTGGGATGGTGCCCCAGCGGGTTCCTGTCACACTGAAGCGTTTGCTCAGGCAGAGCCTGGAGCTAGGTCCAGGGAGGTTCCAGCACTGCCCTGAGGGGCCCCTTGCCAAGGAAACCCAGCAGGGACAGCCCCAGGACGGTGCCCGCTGGCCCCCTCCTGGCCACTGCGCCAGGACAAGGCATCGCTCACCCACGTCAAAGAACCACTGCATTATATCGAAGGTTTACTCTTCTTTTCCTGCAATCAGCATTTCAGTTCTTTATTCTTACATCTTTGACCCTCAACATCTCCCTACAGTCTTTCCCAGGATTTTCAGCAACCTTTAATTCTTTTGAAACACGAAAATGTATGGGGTGACACCTATAGATCTGTTGCTGCTATACAGAGAGCAGTTTTAGGTGCACTGCAGAAACACCTTTATATTAGAGCACACAGATCTACAGCTTTCAGTATCTGATTCCTGATGTAAATGCTTCCAAAAAGAAACATCACCTTTTGCTCTCAGTTAAAAGTTTGCATCCCCTAAGGCTGTACCAGCTAGGGCTGTATTACACATGGTGTAATTGCTATGCCACATACACGAATTCGTGCTTCCCTGCAAACCTTAAGATGGATTAGTGTCTACAGATTCACCTGCCTGCTCAGCAATCCCTCCCCATTTGTCTAATTCACATTATGTCTGGCTTAAATTCATTATCCCTCACTCAGAGAATGAGGCTTAGGAAAAACAGTCTAAAATAAACACCAGTCTTGCCTTAGAGCAACTTCTGTTGTTCACTACAGCTGCGTGAACAGCTCATTTTTTATGTGTACACATACAATCTTGCAAGGTCCTGCCAAAGTTTTGGAGTTTAGATTACTCTTATCAAGGCTGGGAAGTGTACAAAACTGGAACAAAAAGTCAGATATTGCACCCAAAAATCTTTAAAACCATGCAAGCCAGAGCTACACAAGTAGTTTTCTCTGTGAAAGTCTCTACTTGTACATATTATCTCTGAACTTGGAGTTTATTAACAAAGTAATTTTTAAAGGAACATTTTGTATTCATATTTTCTTAAAACATCAACAGCCAGCTAACTTTCTTAATGCAATTTACATTACAAAAAAAACCCTTGCAACCATAAGAACACATTCTAGGAAAAGTAAACCTGAAATTCCTATTATAAAACACAGGAAGCAGAAGTCATTAGAAAGGAATAAAAGTTCATATTTTTCCATTTTGCTTCATACATTCAAAAAAAAGTCACCTTTAAAGAACTTTTGCTTTTCTCTATTATTTGCACCCAAGCCCAGCTTTGGACAGGAGGTGGTGCTATAGTCTGTGTAAATTTTGTTATTAGGCAACACCAACAGCTAAAGCTTACTAAAAGCAAAAAGAAAAGGTAAAAAAAGAGAAACATTCTAAATCCTGTAAAAGTGCTGGCATACAGACTTTACCTACAGATGCTTTCATATCAGTAGGTATTCTGTAACAGTGCTAGAAAGTTTTGTAAGAAGGCACTAAAATATTTGTGTCTGTCAAGGCAAGGATTTCAAATACCTCGCAAAACATGATTACTAAAGCATGGAAAAAAACCTGTCATGCACAGCTCTGGGCAAGCTGTAACAGTTGTTATGTGGCTGAGGCTCTGCTGAGCAGCTCTGAGCCATGGGGAACCTGATGGAACAGTGGAAGATTTTGGCAGCTCCAGTGAGAGCATTCTGCCTGCCTCTCCCTGAAGAATGCCAAGGTTAGATGCTGGGTCAGATTTACCAGGCCAAGATGAAATGCCCAAGCAGGAATCCAAACCCCATGCCTAGGTTAATGCTCTTTCCCCCTCTGTCCTTTCTTCTTTTGCTGTCTTTTTCCTCATGCCCATCTAGAAGCACCAAACATGGCATCTTCTGAAGATTTTTTTCTTGCTGTCCATGTTGCCCTGTCTCTATGCCCATTTTCACCTGTAACTTTACTGGGAGAGCTGTTCTGTTCTGATCTGCTTGACAGACTACCACCAGCAGCCAAGCTGAGAGAAAACAATTGTGGAAGACTGGTTCCCTTCTGGCTGCACTTCATCTCCCATTCTCATCTTTTCTTTGGAAAGGAAGCTAACAAATGACTCCCAGAATGGATCCAAGGGGGATTTTCCAAGAGAGTAGATCTTTCTTTCACATATTCCTTTCTGAAACTATCAATTATCCATAGCCTGCTAATGCCAAGAACTAGGTGTCAGACCAAGGCCAACAGCAGATTGTGGGAGAAATCTTATCTCAGTTACACAAGTCTAGATCTGGAGGAACTCCAGTTATTAAACAATCTATAAAATTAGGATAACAATAAGTATTATTTCAAAAAGGTTTGTGATGGCTAACTAGCAGTAATTAATGCTGGTATAGAAATCAGCCAATGGTTGCCTGGAAATGAAAGGCACTATAGAAATTCTAAGTACTCATTATTTCTGCCATTTGCAATTATACTTTTCAATGTAATCTATTTGTTGTAGTCAGGGTGCCCATCAATACTCCCTGCAGATCTCAATCTATTGTTCCTGAATAATTCACTGGTCTCAATAACATTAGATCACATTTAATTGGGGAAAAACAAAATTTGCCTCTTTCTAGATGCAATTACAGATGAAGGTACCACTAACACATGAAAGTCAAAATTCCCAAACACAAGGGAGTGGGAGTGAAGACAGAGGAACTTGAACATATTTCACTTGACATGGATGGACTTGAAGATCATTCTATGGCTGCAAAATGGGATTTAAAAAAAATAAAATTAAAACCTTTTTATTGAATTGGATCTGTTGAAGCTTTAAGGTTATTAATAAATAATAGCAGGAGTTAGACTTCAGTGTAAAATGATGCTATTATTACTTATCTTTCTAAAGACCTATTGATGCTTGTGATTCTACAGCTGTATCTTCTTTAAATAGTTTTCTATCCTTTATCAAGGAATGTTCCTATAAACAGATTTAAGTAATTACATGCAATCAAATTAATTGTAAATCAGAAGTGGATAAAAAGGTTTATATGTCAAGTTAACCAACTTTAAAAACACATCTGTTGAATTTCACCCAGTCTAGTGGGAATTACATGAATATATGATAAATTATTTGCTGTTACCTAGAGAGGTGTCAAATGAGCACATCCCTGTTTTTAAGGTAACACACCTTGGAAAATTGTTTTGTGACAGATTTTTTAAGTAGTCTTTTAAAGCTCAAGGTTTGACACCTAAAAATGTGTATGTTACAAAATATGCACCAGAAATATTGAATATTTGTAGTACAATATCTAAGTCCACAAAACAGGAAACTCCTAGTTGTTCAGGGATTTAAGAAGGAGGCTGCAATCAGAGGTAAAGGAGGGAATAGTTGTGTTTGATGTCCTGTATTTATTCTGGTTTCCAGCTGTGGCAAGAACAGCACAGAAAGACTGAAACAGGGAACTTCACAGTGGAGCAGAAAAACAAAATTAAATCTCCCAGCTCATCAGCTTTGCCATTACCTCCTTCCACAGGAACTTGGGGAGGGCAGGATCTGCCCCTCCAGGACACGCTGTCCCATCCGGGGCTCCCTGGAACAGGAGCTGAATCAGCAGATGGTTCCTGCCTGTGGCTTCCCAGATGTCCAAGCTCCCGCAGCTCCAGGCAGGCAGCAGGGCCTGTGTGGGAGCCAGAGCATCTGGCCTGGATCATTTCACTGGGCAGCAGGGCTCTGAAAGCCATCAGGTGTTCACAGCAACTTCAGCACTCCTCACACAGCCACAAAAGTGAGCTCAAGCAACAACACTGCAAGAGAAAGCAGGCAGTTGTTTTCTTGCCATCCTGACAAGTGCAAAACTGCAGAGAAAAAAAACACTACTTCAGCGTTTGCACTAATTCCAGTGGAGAAATAAGAGTAGCAAAAGCACTGACTGTGCAATATTTATTTAATAATTAACTATCTTACAGACATAAAACTAAAATACATGCAGCTTTTTCTTTCTTGAGTAAAAATTATCTAAATACTTTCCTCCAGAGAAAATTAATAGAAAAAATTAAAATAATAATAATAACTCAAAAATTAATAGAAAAAGCTTAACCATGCCACATTTACAGCAGAACATTTTAAATGCAATTAAAAGAATTCTAAGATTCTACAAACCAGAATCCAGAGGATTTATTAGGAGGATTCAGAGGATTCATTTCATTAGGATCCTACTGCTTTTAATTCCTTTGCATTTCTCTGGCTTTTAGATTAAACAACACTATGCACTACACAAACAACAATTGTGAAGAGAACATGTAATACAAACAGCTGTTAAATTTAAGGTTATAGGTTCTTGTCATATATTGGCTGTGAAAGAAGCATTAGGAGACAAAAGTGATGGCAAATACTTTGTTTCTGAACTATGTATGAGTAATTTGCTGGTTAAGATCTGATTGGTTGCATCCATTACATACTCAGAGGTTAAACACCATTACGTTCACAAATACAAATAGGAAGGGCTGTAATTGCAATTGTCTAAGGAGATATGTGTTGCTTTGTGCTTACTTATTTTGTTAAAGATAAAAAAGAAATGCATGTTATAGCCACACAAATATTCAGAATTAAGCTACTAATATATAAGATTTTTTCTGAGTGTAAATGTAGCTTTTGGAGCTCTCTCACACCGGCAGTGTGCACAGGTGCCTTTTTAGGGCTGCCAGAGGATTTATGCAGCCCAATGCTCAGCATCATTCCTGCCCGATTCCAGCCCTCCCTCGGGAAGATGGCAATGTCTGTTCTCGGGGAGCCTGGGACAGCGCGGGATGGTTCCCGACCGGGTCCCTTTGCTTTTCTTGGCCAGCGATGCCTCTCCTCGAGCTGCTGCTGCCGGGCTCTGCCGTGTGCGAGCCGGGGGCGGGCCGGGGAGGGGCTGCGGCTCTCGGACACCGGCACAGCGGCGGGCACTCGGCCCGGCCCGCCGGAGCAGCGGCACCATGGCCGGTAAGTGCGGGAGCGCAGCGAGGGAGGCAGGGAGGGGGTGCCCGGCTCCTCCCGCAGCCCCGGGCGGCAGGAGCTGGGGAGGGCTCGCTACAGCATCAGCCCAAAGCTGTCCCTGAGCAGCTGCCCGGGGCGCTCCGCAGGGCTGGAACAGCAGGGCTGCCAGCACCGCCCGGAGCGCCTGACGGGGGGAGCTCGGCCTGGAGTCAGGCACAGCAAATGGGCAGTCCTGCCTCCACTACCCCCAGTTATTTAATTTATACTGACTGTGTTTTACATGGGGATTAAAACTCGTGGTGGAGGACGAGCTCCTTGTAAACTTGCCAAAAAGCTTACTGCAAAGTTTAAGTAAAGCTTATTAAAGGCATGTAATCACACAGTAAGCAAAAAGGGATGCAATCCCAGAGGAGACAGAGGATGCCTGTCAGCACCTGCTCTGTGCTAGGATAAACCTGGTACCTATCAGCAGGAGACAGTCCCCTGGCTCAGGTAGGGGGAGATGAAGTGGTCCAACAGGTCTCTTCCATCTCCTCTGCCATGATCCTGTACCACAGCAGGATACAATACATCCATTTCTCATGATGCCAGGTAGTTATTTTAAAATATACAGATTTTCTCCCTGCATACAATGGATGCAACTTATCTCAGTGGTCGATTTGTGACTAGTGCTACATTGTGCCCTAAGCCCCTGGTTCTGTTGCTGATCTAATCAGATAAGATGGTCTAAAAGTGCGACAAATTCTCCTTACTCTCATTAAAGTACAGGTAACTTCTGGAATGAGTAAAACTCTACCTTATATTTACAGCTGTGTAAAGTTTGAAAAAACCCAGAATTTGAGTCTATGCCTATGGGTGTGTCATGAATACTTAACATCATTCTGCAGTGAACAAATTCAGGACATGCAAATTCATTCTCTTACTCCAAAATCAATGCACACCTCATCATACTGTCTTTAATGGTAATGGTGACAAACCGGCTATAGGGGAACACAGGATTGCTGCTGAGAACAGAGACTTATGAATGAACAGGACAAGTTAAAAAAGACCTGTACAACTTCCTTGAAATGTTAACCTTTCAGATCAGACAGCAAAACTACCAGGCATATAAAGATTTGTTGTTTATAGTGCACCTACATGAAGGAAACCATTAATTTCTATTATGTTCATGGGCATTAAACTGAAGCATTTTTTCTGCATCTGGCCTTCTGAGATGCAATAAAATGTGAGTCTGACTGAAGATATATTTGAGCATGCCCTGCAAAACTAAAAGGAACAAACACACAAAATTCCCATGCTCATATGCATTTCCTCATACTGTGCATTCTTATCAAGGAAAACCAATTAACCCACATGGCACAGTCAGACTTGTCTCTGTATTAATATTAACCCACACCAAGTAGGAGCTTGTTTCCTGTTGCTCAGAATAAGGATTGCACTAACAGTCTGCCTGGATGCTGGAACCCACTCAGCTCACCCACCAGCTGCAAGGCCAGCAAAGTGCTGTTGCTGTGGTACAGCCATGAGCAGGGTGGCTGCTCGTGGCGCTGCTGGGAGACAGGAGTCACTGTGTGACTCAGGGAAGCAGCCAGCCAATTCCTGCAGAGGCCTAAGGCAACACACCTGGAGGGGAGCTGCAAAACCAACTTGGCCCCAGTGACTCCACCAAATGCAGGAAAATGAGTCAGGATCAGATTAAGGCCTTTGTGGCGCTATGGGCAGGTTAATTTTATAGCACAAGGTAATTACTTAAGTGTTCTGTAGCTGAAGGACATTTCATGTCATTTACTGCAACACAGCAACACTGAAAAAGATCAGCAATATATGTATTTGCAACTCATCTCCCATACTCTTTATAGCTCTAATGAATAAACTAAATTAAATGAAAATAGTTTGGAATTATTCATAACTTATTATTTGATAGTCAAAACTATCAGTAGTGTTGACTGATGATTTTGTGCTTGTATTGTCTTTATTTTACTTGTACCATTGTATAGAGATGGCTAACTGCAAGGTACCTACCAAGCACAGATAGATAAAAAGAAAAAGGAATAAAGCACAATTAAGTTAACTCTACCTAAAAGCAGAGAAGAAGAAAAAAATTCAGTACCAGTTGTGAGAAAATGCCAGGTCACTTCACTACTTCAGTTTCAGGGGAGACCTTGAGAACTGCCAGCACCCAGTACTGAGCTGCTCCTGAGCTGTCTCCCATGGCTGCAGAGTGGAAGACAATTCTAGAGTTTAGGTACAGGGCAGAATAATCTTTGCAGCCTATCACTCCACAATTCTCAGCAAACGTGAAAGCAATGAACTGAGCCCATCATCAATTGTTTACCCTTGATCTAACGAGAAATTCTCAAAACTGAATTTCTCATATTCATATTAAATATATTTATTAAGATTTATTTGGGTTTGTTCACAGTAATTATAACAAGATTTTGTTGTATGTTAAGCACTCATGATTCAGGAAACTGTGTTTAATGGATATTTAACTTTGACTTCACAGGTCAGGAAACACATGCATCCTTAGAAAGAAAACAACCCATAGCTTTACTTTGTTCCTTGAGCCAGGGTCCATTGCAGTAACTGCCAGTCCTTCTGAACACTGTAATCTGTCACTGCCATTGTCATGTCCCTTCAGGTGCTGCACCATGCTATAGCCAAACAAAAATGTGCATGTGAGCTGAATGCTTCCTTTAATAATAATTTTGGAATGGTTTTTGTTAGCTTTAATATTCCTGTCTACACCCAAAATATACTTAACTTCGATCTTCCTATGATGTTTTGTGTGCTTTTATGTTTGAACAGAACAAGCAGTTGCTGTGGCTGGAGGTATAATAGGAGGGATCCTTTTATTTGTCCTCCTTGGAATAACTGCATATCTGCTCTGGAAAAAATGTTGCCGCCTCTTTTCTTATGAAAAGCTCATCAATCCTGTCAAAACAACAAATGCAAATGCCATTTTCCAGGATCAGGCAAATTCTGAAATTCATCTAAAAAGTACAAGGTACCTTTTTTCATTTTGTTTTTAAAGCATATGCTATGTAATTTATTTCAACTTGTCAAATGAGCAGGTGATCCAAATATATGCATGTACAGAAATAAAGGGGATCCCTGAATTATATGAAAACATCAGTTCTGTTTTGTTCCTTTAGGAAAAGGATAATCTAGCTATGAAAGTGATGATTATTCCCGATTTATTTAAAGGAGAGAATATATTCAAGTGTAATTGGTGAATGGATAGCTTTACCTGTTAGACAAACCCAGCCTATGTTCCAGAGTCATTTCTAGTCTAATAACAGAAACAACAGGACTTCAGTTCAGGAAGGACACTCTTTATGAGAATTAATCATTGCAGGGGTTTTGGGCTCTAAAACAAGCAGCTGCAGTTAATTCTTCCTTTCCTTTGAAAGATAAATTCTAAAGGGAAGGAAAGAAGGAAAGAGAAGAATCTGCCAGAAGAATTAAGACCTAATGTGCCTCACTGTCTTTTCATGCATTAAGCAACTTATTTTATTTGCATTTGGATTTTATTTTTACCTTTGCATGTCTGTAGAATTTTTACATTGTGACATAAGAGCAGTAAACTTACTTCTCTCATCAAGTTTGACTTCCAGCTTTAAACCAGAAGAGTCAATAGGTGCTGTTGTCTTGAGCAGGCCCAGAAGTGTTCCATTTATCATTCCACCAACACTGCATGGGCGAGACTGGATTCACCTGACAAATGAAGAACAGGTTCAGGAAGACAGGGACCCCTTCATGACCCCTCAGTCTGGGCCACGGTCATCATTTCATTCTCTGGGTATGGCATTGCAAAAATGGGACTATTTTTATGGGCAGGGTGGCTTTAGTATTATGAAGCATGGATCTTGGGGGCACACCAGAGACTGCATTACCCAGCACAAACCCTAAATGCTCTATGCATTTATACATTTTATATATGAGAATTGGGCAAGAATGTAGTAATTTTGGTCCCAGTACTGTGGTACCTTACACATTTGGCAGACAAAGAAATCTCTCCTCTCATATTTTGTATTTGTTGTCCCCAGAAACAGCAGTCACCAGCTGCACTCTGCAACAACAAACAGCTAGAATTAACCAGGTGCAATCAAAGGAATAAGAGAAAGAAAAGTGCTGCAGCCTACAATTACTCCCCCAAATTTGAGGAAAAAGGAAATAAAATATGAAATTCTTACAAAAAATTGATTGTTAATAAAGAGGGTAATCTGATTTATCCCAATACAACAGTGGTTATAAAAATGCCTGCAATGGTTCTTGAGGCTAATCTGAGGGTGCTTGTTTGCCTTTTCTTGTAGCTGGAGCTTATGTTGTAGGAACCATTAACCCAGATCTGTACAAGTTTCCCGAAGACAAAAGCGAAACAGACTTTCCTGATGGCAGCATTGGCCGCCTCTGGTTCTCCATAGAATACGAGCAAGAGTCAGAAAGGCTCCTGGTCTCCTTGATCAAAGTCAGAAAGCTGCAGCCTCCTGCTGATTCCTGCAGTCCATTTGTGAAAATCTACCTGCTGCCTGATGAAAGAAGCTACCTGCAGTCCAAAACAAAGCGTAAAACTCTTAACCCCCAGTTTGATGAAAACTTTGTTTTCCAGGTACTTTTTCTTTTGATGAGGCAGATTTTTGTTTGCAAATATTAACTTGTCAAACTACAGTACATGTTTGCATGCTCACAATGCTTCTACCAAGACAGAAGTTGTTTCCACCAGAGACAGGATGTTTTTACTGGGGCTTCTGGAGATCCTGGGCTACAGAAGCTTGTGGCTTCAGAACTGCTCTTACTTCTGGTCTGTACCAAAGTTGAGGATTCCAGAACTTGCCCTGGGAATAATGAAAACCCCAGTTTGAACCACAGCTGAGCAGTTCAGCCCAGCAGTTCTAGAAGTCCAGAAGGAGCCAATACATCATGCTTTCACAGCTTTGGTTTTTTTGCTGTGGAAGTAGGCTAGACAGCAGAACCTGGGAGGAATCTCTGGGCTGCTGTTTGTACAGTACTGCACAGCTTGGCTTCCCATGCTAACAGGCTTTCAGCACACGTCACAACACAAAAGCTTTAAAACAAAAAAAGTTTGTTTCAGACAACCGAAAAAATGTTTACAGATTCTAAACATCTTAGTCTGAAAGTGAATGCATCACACAGCACTAGATCCACATGAGCTAAAAAAACCACCAACTAACTTCACAGCTTTCAAATGAACTCGTATTTTAGCTTGAATCTTGACTTCCACATAGCTCAAGTTTTAGGCAAATTTTAAAAGTACTTCAAATAATTAAAGGAAATCCCCACCTAAACTTACCACAGTTTGAAAAATATTTCCTTTGAAGTCATGCTAGAGTAGGAAAGTGTCAGATGTTTTATAATTATTAATATTCTTCACTTTCCTGTACAGGTTTCCAGTAAAATGTTGCTCCAAAGGACACTAAAATTTTTGGTTTATCATGTTGATAAACAGAAGAAGCATCATCTCCTAGGCCAAGTTATCTTCCCACTAAAAAATGAAGCATTAACTGAGGACAACAAACTAGTCATATGGAGAGATCTGGAGAAAGAAAACTTGGAGGTATGTGATACCAGGCTCTTGGCACTGTGGAAGTTCTGTCATCCTACAAGTATTGGAAGGATATAACTTAAGTAGAACTATCTGAAGTAGACCTACGTTCTACCAAGTACCTCACATGCAAAAGTACTTCATAAACATTTGGAATAGAAATTCCCATCCTACCAACGTGCAGATCCATAGCTGTTGTAAAAGGAGTACCCAGATGCTTAGAAAAAGTCATATGAATTAGGAGGTTGTTACATAAGAACTTTTATTATTTGCATCTCCTTTCAATTAGTAACAGCAGAAAAGAGCAGAAGGGGAAAGGAAATAGCTAGCCTCTGGAAAAGAGTAATTCTGAGAGTTAGGAAGGCTAATTAATTGGTTCCATCAAATGTTACAACAGCGTAAATAAAGCCATTACAATTCACTCACACGTTTTTGTGTGACAGAAACCATTAGCATGAAAAAGGATTTTTCTCCCCATTTGATCACACGATGAGGGAGTTTTTCAGACAAGTTTGACAGGTGTTGTTCTGCTTCCAAAGCCTCCTTCAGAGCATGGTGATATCCAGTTCTCCCTGAGCTACAATGACTACCTGGGCCGTCTCACTGTGGTGGTTCTGAGGGCGAGGGGATTAAAGCTCCAGGAGGAGAGCCCTGCTGGTGGTAAGTGAGATTTCCTCCCTGCTGTCAGCTCCACAATTCCTGTTTTCATTTGCTCCTTCCTCATCTGTACACCCAGGCTTGTGCTGTGGGACTCTGACAGGAACAAATAAATATCCTGGTGATTTGAGTGGAAACAAATCATATTTTGCCCTGAGGCAATTAGATTTTGATAGCTTAGTTTTGCTATCTTTGGGGTTTGTTTCATAATAAAAGGTTTGTCCTGTGGCAATTGGTGGTAACTTTTTTCGCCTGTTTTTGTGCAGTGAGCAACATCCTTTTGCTGCTCTCCAGTCCAGAGAAGGCACCATTTCAGGGGATATTGACATTAACAGTTGCATCAAGTCAAATTCCCAGGGGTAACAGCTGTAGGATACCTGCTTATACTGAACATCTGTCCTGAGAGGAATTGAGCTGAGAGAAAAAAACCCCAGTTTAGGACAGCCCGGTTACTGTTCAAAGGACCATGGCACAGACTCAGAATTTTCTCCCCTAGTGCAGAAGGCTTTTTCTGGTACATCATACTCATGTATCCCTGGTCTCAGAGATTACCTCAAAATGCTGTTCAAAATCTAACACTCAAAAGCAAGAACAGATGAAGAACCACACTTGTATTTCAGTCTGTAGTGATTTCTTGCAGGGCTTTGAAGCTAAACAATATAAACACAAAATACATCTATAATTTAAAAAGAAAAGAAGTTTAGTCCTCTATATATATTATACACACATCACTATGAAGTTTCTTTTGACTGTACAAATTAAGCCTTCAAAAAAGTCTCCATCAGATGAAGGGAAGGCACAGAAACATAAGATCAAGGATGCAGGGTAAGAATATGGCTGCTAATTTTACCAGCATTTAAGCTGGAAAGTGCACTTCAAAACTGCACCCTTAGAACTTTGTATGCTCCCTGCTTTATGTCATGCTGTCATGTGTGCTCCATCAATCTTTCACAATCTGATGTTACACTTGATATTGACTCTCAAAAAGCAGAAATTCCTTAAGCTGTCTCCCAACTGCTTCTTGAAGATGTATTTTAGTCTTCAATTTCTCTTTCTCCAAGGTGTGTATGTCAAAGTCTCACTAATGAACCATAATAAATTCATCAAAAGTAAAAAGACAGCAGCTCTTCTGGGAACTCCCAACCCTGTGTACAATGAAACCTTCAGTTTCAAGGCAGATCAGACAGAGCTGGATACAGCAAGCCTGAGTCTATCTGTGCTCCAGAGTAACAAAGGAGAAAGTAAGTTATATAAATTATTACAGTCATATAAGTTACTAAAGTCAAGGTGTCAAATCTCTTACATATTTGAGACATGTTTAAACCTGAGAAGAAGTAATCCCTTTTCAGCAATAATCACGAAACATGTAAGAGTTGTGGGTTATTTCAAAGGCTGTCACTTTAAGAGCAGGACAACTTATTTGTAGTTAAGCATATGTCTCTCTTCAGAGGCTACATTCCGTGGAAGACATGAATAAAATCACTGTAGCCTAGTCAGTGCCAGTACAAGGTGCTGTGCCTTTGTTTCATTTCAGTATCCCATTAAAACAAGCTTATGTGAACACTTGTGTGTGTCACACACAGCCTCCAAAACTGAATGGCCATTCACTCCTTCTAAGCAAATTTGAAAGAGGAATAGGAATTTTAATTCTCTTAGCAATGAGAAAGAAGGAAAAGAGATTAGCAAACATCCCCATTCCCTGGCAGAAAACCTGATGCTTGAGGCCACCTCTTACTGTTAGAGAATCCATTAAGGAGTCCTGCTTACAGAAGCAAATCAGAATTCAGTATTTCCACTGCTCACAAGAAAAAACATCTTCCCTGCAGTGCAAATATGATCTCAATAATTTTCCCCATTCATAGCTGGAAAATCCAGGCATGAATAAGCAATCTGGTCCTTGGCAGTGGCAACACACATATTACAGCTTCCAGCTGTCTCAGTAATTGCATTGATTTCTTGCAAATCATGTGAATCCTACTGAGGTTGAAGATGCCCAAAATTAGGGCATGCTTCCCCAGTAAAGCTGAAGTAAAGGGGTAGGGTAGATACAGATCAGATATGTGTACCTTGAAGATGTTTTAGTTTAACTACAGGCAAAAGGACAGGCCTGCATTGACTGAACATCCCCTTACTGCTGTACCTTTTCTTGCTGAACCTCAGCAGGTAGAAGCTACAGAACCTGAAGTCCAGGGTTACTTCTTTGAGAAATGTTTTGGTTTAAAAATACCTTTCAGAAAAGGCACTATTTGGAGAAAAGCACGTTGTAATCTTATTGCAAGAGTTTCATGCTGTTGTCTCCTTACCACAAAAGCTCCATATCTTCTTGATGTTTCTCATGGGCAGCTACTCACAGCCCTGACTCTTTGTTATTCACAAAGCAGCCAACTGACTACAGTTCCCTTCTCAACCACCACCCCACTCTTTTATAGCATCTTCTTCTCACTGGTCACAGCTGTGGCCTGTTAAAGTCAGGCCTGCTCCTGATCTTTGCTAATTGGCCCAGCTGCAACTCCTTAGGGGTACGATTACTTTCTACACTATCTTTATTTTCTTATATTCTATCCCCCCACAAATCCATGTTGATATTCTCATGTAGGCAAGGATTTCAGAGAAGCATCACAGGTGTTCATCACTAACTGCTTTTTTTCCCCAGAAACACTTCTGCTGGGACGAGTGGTAGTTGGGCCTTTCATGTACACACGTGGCAGAGAACTGGAACACTGGAATGAGATGATCAGCAGGCCCAAGGAGCTGGTGAAACGATGGCATGCTCTCTGCCACAGCACATGAACAGCACTGAGGAAAAAACAGCCTTAATATGGAAAAGCTCTTACTATCTTTCTCATCTAAAGGGTACAAAAATCTTTGCTAAGATTTTGTACCAAACGAAGAATAAAATAAATTATTTCCTTGACCAAGCACAAATAAAAGATTTGGTTCCTGGTAGGCTGGGAGTTCTTCTTTCCTCTCTTCAAAATATATGTTCAATTTAATTAACATGCAGCTGAACAATCAAAACAGCCAAACATGATCTCTCAGTATTAATTATTTTGCCTGGAAAATTCCACTTCTTGGTTATGAGTTGTGGGCACAAATGATCACACATATACACAGAGCCCAAGAATTGCCAGTGATGACTCCAGGCCTACCTGCCCACTGCTCCACATCACCACAGTGCTTCACCATGAGGAGAGAAGCCCAGTGAGCATGCCAAAACAGACAAAACCCTAAAGACCTGACTAATACATGTAGAATATGTTTAAAGTAGCAGCAGTGTATTTAAGACCCCTTTTGAACAGGAAGGGTGAAGGCGCTGCTCATGTCACACACCTGGAAGCAGCTGTTCACATCCCTCAGCACCTCAGTGTATTTCCTGCAGTAACTCAGTTCAGTGTTTTCAGCTGACCCCAAGTACAGCACTTTGTGTTAAAAATAAGGGACAAGTAAAGAAGTCAGAGTCACAAGTGACTGGAGGCTATTCCAGTACTGGAGTACTGTGAGACAGTAAGATGAGGACATGTCCTGTCCTATTATATTTCTCTCTAAACACATCTCTGCTGGAGACACAGCATTGATTACACGAGCCTTGGGTTTGACCTAGCATGACCATTCTCACACTGAAAATCCAATTAGCTTAAGCCCTCTGGGCATGTGTCTGTTTTAGTAGTAGAGTCCTCTTCATTAAGTAAATTACTGCTCTCTAAAGTAATTTGGAGCAATTATTCCTAATCAAAATAAAATAGGACATTTTTCTCTTTTTGATTGTTCACTAGGGACCTGAGCTCTGTACCCTTATCACTGTACAGTCATAAACCAGACACACAGACTACTGCAGCAAAACATTTTGCACAATGGTGTTCCATAACCTCTACGGCTGAAATCAAACCAACTTCCTTTCAAACAGGATAAAACATTAATTAATTCAAAGTCTTAAAAATATCAGCCTTCTCTGGGGAGATGAAACCACTTTTCATTTTGATAATATTATTATTACCTCAAGGAAATGTTATGAATGAGAAGATACCACAGAGGAATTGTAAGATAACAGACCTCCCTGATCCACCATCTGATATGGTACACAGCACCCTCAGTCTGTCTAGCTAATTACACCACTAGATACAAAGTGAGCCAAAACTCATTACATTAAACTGAATTTGACAAAGTGCTCAACCTAAATTATATCTAAAGGGGTAATACCAGCAACTCAACCCCAAAGAGCTGTATTCAAATTTCAGCCCCACAAAACAACTGCAAACCAATCAGATAAGCAAAGTCATTGTGTTTGTTCTGGGGAGAAAAACTACCCAGTAATCATTCCGTTTACATATTACTAGAATAAAATTATTTTACCAAATAAATTTTGCATTTTATTATTTCAATCATACCAGTAAAGATCTTAAAAGTGAGCAGTTAGTAGTATTTCAGACAGCTAATTAATGAGCATGTGCAGAAGATGCATGCAATGCACAGTGTTTGTTAACAAATACCCCAAGGTGGGAAGTCACCTGTCTGACTTGATGTACAGTGTGGTCCTCTTTTCTTCTCATACATGAAAGTAACAATACTTCCAGCTTGTGTGTTCAGTAATTTCTGCTAAATTGTCAAGAAACAAATTCTAATGCACTTACCAATGTACTTGTACTCACATTCACCCAAGGGAAGCAAATGAGAAAGGCCCTTTTTGACTCTACCACACAAGAGTTATTTCACAGCAAGAAACATCATCAAATAAGGAGTTCTAATACAATGTTATTAACTGTCACATAATGAGCAATTTTTTTACCTACTGCCTTTTATATAACATCCATCTGATCCTGTGCTTGCAACTTACCTTGAGCTGAAGGAGGTGGAATGATTACAAACCAGTTCTGTTTTACAAGAGAAAAGAGCAGCAGCAAAATTGCTGAGGTTAATGGCAAAAATTCTGCTGTTAAAAGTAAGGAGAGCAACCACAACAGCAAACAAAACCACCAAGCTCCAGATAGCATATGGGATAAGATAAATAAAAACTGAGTAACTAAAATATTAGTGAATTCTGTCTTCCTCTAATATGCCAGGTCTCAGGAAAATTCAGTCTCTCACAACAGTAGTGAACTTTTCTGAGGAGAAAAAGGAAAACAGATATGGAAGAAATTGTTGGAGTTTATTAACATCATTATTAACACAAATATGCATGTATAAAAATATATTATGCATGTATAAAAATATATCTTACTAAAATTCATCAGAATTACTCCAGCAGTATATACTATTAGCAGATATTCAATACCAGTCCTCTTAATAGTTTTGTTTTTTTCATAAGTTAAAACCAAAATCCTTTATTATAGTTTTTAAGAGATTTGCTTCCTTCAGCTAAGTAATTTTTCTTCTGCTTCCCATCTGTGTGTCCTTATGGTCTTTGTTACTCAATTAGTGCAGAGGTCAAAGATCAGGATGAAAATTCAGCAGATGGAAATCCTTTTGCAAAGGATAGCTGTTCTCATCTAGCACAAAGTGGCTTCTGATTTCCAACAAATAGGATGCTTCTGTATCTGCCAGCAGTGAATGACACAGATCTGCTACTATTGCGCTGTAGGTTATATCTGAAGAGGGCACTGCAAAACACAAAACAATTCAATTTACACTTGATTTTCACAATAGCACCTAACATTCAAGTTCTACCTCCATGAAGCTTCACTCAATTACTGCAAGTGAAGCTCAACATCTGAACAGAAAATTAGCTTTTATTTTTAATTACTTTTTAAAAACAATGAGCTGAGCCTGTTTCTGATTAAACTGTTAACACCTGTGAATTACATAAAACACCTCAAGTCAAACAGGATATATCGTGAAGCTTGTCTGAAACACAGCTCAGTGTTTCACATCATGAAAACATGCCAGCTCCTTCTAAAAGCTCCTAAGACATTCAATTTTGCACATAAGGAATTTATTTAGTTATTGAATATTTAGGTACATACCTATTATATAACTAAGTCGTAGTTATTCACACCTCCCACCTCCTGTTGTTGCAACCTCTCCTGTGAAATTCTGAGTTTGTCAGACAGCCACTTTGATGTTGGTTGCTGAGTGGTTTTTTTTAAACTGTCAATGATTAAAAATTTTCCTTCCATTGTGAACTTTGCTGCCTGTTTCTACCACAAGTAATTCATGAATCAGTACCTACTGATCTCTTCAGCCAGTCTGCAGGAATATTGAGGAAGATTTTTTCCATCAACTCAGACACCACATGAACATAAATTTCATGTCCTTCATCTTCTACTGTCATCAAAGCAGGTCTAGATCAGAAAACAAAGTTTCATGAAAGTTAGCTGCTATGGTTTGTTTTTTATTGAAGGAAAAGTTTAGAAAGCACTACAACATCATACCAAGAAATAGAAAAGTGAGAAAATCTCTATGTACTCGTGTCAAATCTGTAGCACTGGAATCAGTTTGAGGAATAAATTAGGAAATGGCCTTAAACTGAGACAGGACACTCAGATTAGACACTAGAAGGAAATTTTTTACTGTTAGGATGGTCAGGATTGCCCATGGAGGTGGTGGAAGTGCAAAGCAGGGACATAAGCTTAGGTGTATCACCTGGAATTGTACCACCTGTATCAACATCACTGTATTAGCTGTCTTAATACATCACTTTATAGCCACATAATGCCAGGGTATAGCTCTTGCACTATGAAAAGTACCAAATGTTTTCACAAACCACAGAACAAACAAAAATACTTATTTGGAAATACTCCCAAGGTGATGCACTCTTACTAAATTGATCAGAAGAAAATTTCAGTGCAAAAATGTCAGGCGTGTCTCTGAAAATAATGGACATGTAAATTCTACATCTGGACATGTTCCCACGCTGAGAATACAAACACTGGAAATCCTTATCATTTTTCTACCCTCTTTTGTACAGGAGCAAATTGAGGTCCTTCATGCCCACTGAGATTTTATAGCCTTATGAAAGACTGGCAGAACCTTTTCAGTTAAGGAAAAAACCTCTTTGCACTTAATCCTCCCTCACAGAAAAACAAATAGCACAAAGATGCAAGACTATTTTGCTTAGATGAAAAATACTAAGTCACTACCTGATTAGATAAATAGGATATTTAAGTCCTAGTTCATTAAGTAATACTATTTAATTAATGATTCATTAAGCTCATTATGAAAGAGTTTAGAAAGAATTTGAGAAAAAAATTTAGATTGAAAATTTACATATTCTAGAATTCTATCACGTCCATGGTTGTCTCAATAAACATTCTCTAGCTACGTCTTTCTAGTCACAATGAAAATTACATTTCAAAGCCCAAGATAAATGTGGGAATTGAACAGTTAGTTAATAAGGATGTACCTACATCAACTGGATCCACTTGGTTTATTTTCTCTAAGTGTGAATATATGTGTCTCACAGTGCCATCTGGTGATAACTCACTATCTCTGCTCTCCCAGAATGTTTATTGAAAACATTTGTCAATATTAATTCTGCACAGCTGAAACTGAACTAATCAGTTAAAAACATGGTTCTGCCTTCACATGATTTCAGATTTAGGCTGGAACAAGATTCTCAAGGAGTCTTCCTTTGGTCCTCAAGCTTCTACTCCACCTCAGCTTTATCTGACACAGTACTGGGTAAACATCATTCCTGCATGATAGTATTCATAGAAATTAAAAAGTTAGATTTAAACTAAGAATATCATGTATAAATAATGACAATATAATACACCAATTCAAGAACAACAAACTGAAAATTCATTAGAGAGACAGAGATTGCTAACCACACCTTTAACAAAGAATTTTAGATATGGGGGAAAATAAAATGGAGAAAGTTTACCTCCCTAATAATACACATTACTTTATTTTGTTTACCTGTAGAATGTTTTTACTTTGCTGTATGGCAGACATCTAATACATTGCTTATAGATCATGTTCTCATCTGCCTCTAGTTCCAAAGCACATTTGGCACAACCTGAATATGTAATCATAGGCAGAGAAGCCAAAACACATTCCAGGGAAGTGTCAGCAGAGAAGATGAGTTGCTTGTACTGACCAGTGGAAATGGTAAATTTCAGTTCCAAGATATGGGCTTTCACTTGGACCACTCCTACAAAAACAATCCAAATATGAATTAAGTTTTATTTAGAACTGAAAGCAAAATCAATGGCTACAGCTGATTAAAAACCAAAATTGCTATCAAGAACATTCTCAGTTTTTTCCCCCTTTGTTAACACATGCTCACATTTTTAGAGGTATTTTATTCAGTGAAAAATCTTGGTGACTAAATATCATTTTAAAACGTGTAGAACAACTACATTTTCAGGTACTATATCAGTAGATGCCACTATAGAAGGTGCCTGAATAAGAGATCAAAATTGTGCAAAGAATTTCCAAGTGATTTTCTTCCCACTGTTTCAAAGACACTGAAAAGCACAGCTTTAATGACTTAGTTTATATATAAATAGTGAAAAGCTAGAGTTAAATGCTGCAAGAACAGTTTTAATCACTTCCTAGAATTTAACACCACCCACAGCCATCTTCTAGGATTATCTGGAGAGGATGACTGTGTAAAATGTCTTCTTTGTCCTTTTGTAAGAAGTTTTCAATAGCAGTAGTTATTGAGAGTTCCAGTTTTTGAGAAACACTGATGAACTTCCAGTAATTAGTCACATCATTACTGGGCTGGCTGGTGTGGATAACAGAAGTCAGCATTTCCCTCTGTGCTCCAAAGCTGCCTTTGCCTGGCACACACCACATCTATCCCTCTGCTGGGCTCATGGGATGAAGGCTGCATTCAGTTTGGCCAAGAACAGGGCAGCAGCCTCCAGAAGAAATTCAGAACCAGACCTGGGCTACCTTAAAAAACAACCACCTTGCCTCATCAAGAGAGCATTATTTTGCCTACTTGTGCATGGCACAACAGACATGACAGAGCTATGGATAACATTTACCTGAGCATTTTTCATCCAGGAGTGCTGAGAGCCTTGTCAACTCCATGAGGGATGTCTGACTTTTCTGAAACTTCTCTTTAAATTCAACTGCCCTTTTATCATCATCAAACAAGCACTCACAGGATGACCATGGAGTAGTGTGAAGTTCCAGGTCACCTGAGACAGAACTACACTGGACCAAAAGGTATTTGAAGGCCCATATGTGGTCTGCAAAACAAAAAAAAAGCAAACAGAAGAGTTTACTTTCTGTACCGTGGTTAATTTACAGAAAGACAAGGTCACTTAAAAGATTGAGAAACAAATCAGAAGACATTCTCATATAGCCAGCTCTGGCAACTTCCTTTTAAGTGTGATGACATGCAAGGTTCTTCCTTTCCCTATAAACTTTGCATGAGTTGTTTCCCATAACAAAAATTTCATTTCACCTCTACCAAATTTAGCTGTCACGGCAACTCAGCATTCTGAAAAAGAAGCCAGTTCTGAAATTTGTTGTCAGCACTAATGCTGGCAGTGTCTCAGAGAAAAAAAATCTTCATCTTATTAATCAACTTCCATTTTTTAATATGTCCCTATTTTTTTCATCTTCTATCTCCACAATTATCAACTTAACATAAACCTAGCTGAACTTTTCTTAAAAGAATAAGACTAGGAAAAAATCAAAGTTTGGTAGTAGTCACTGCACAGTCTATGCAGTTTTTGCAAGAGATGCTTTTACGTAGTTACAGCTGGACTTGTTCTCAAGACCATCAGGATATAAAGCCTGACATGAGTAAAGTGAGTAGCAGAGAATGAAAAAAGGAGTAGGAAAACCCAGCAATTCATGCTACACCAGACAATGGAAAGGAAGAGCCAGCAAAACCGGTAACACAGTTAATACTCATGGATGTTTTTATAATTACTTAACCAGGCACTATACAAGTAAGTGCATCTTGTAAATAGATTCAAGTTTTTAAATATTTATGCCTTCTCAGTCTTCTGAAGGGCATTCAAATTCTGTGGCTGATGGCACTGCTTCTAAACAGAGGAGATGTTAGAATTAGCACAAAATGCATTACCCCTCCAAGGGAGTATTTAAAGGCTGAATGGATAAAGGTTACAGCTGAATATTAAAAGGCACTAACAGCATCACAAAACCTTTTCAGACCTACCCATAGCTACAAGGACCTTACCTTTTTTCCTCTGAAGCTGGGGGTACCAGGCAGCCCCTGCTCCCCACAGAACCATCCTATAGTGTTGATCTCTGTTCTGTTCTACTGTTAGAATAATTTTTCTTTGGCTGCCACCTCTGTAGCTGTACACAGATTCTGGTAAGAATTGAAAATACATTACTTCTACAGTAAAAAGCACACAAGCACACAAACCCCATGTGCCTCAGTATTACAGGGAAATCTTGGTGTTATCACATTTTATGCTACAATTAAAAGCAAAGAAGAATACACCTCAAATTTCTTCTGGACAGAAAATAACCAGCTTTCTTCTGCAACATGAATCTAGTTTGAGGGAGTGCATAAAGTACATTAATTAACTTTTATCCATCTAAATACTCAGTAACTGGACAACTCCCTATGAAGCAGGAGGTATCTGAGCATCTTTCACCTCCCATTCCTCCTGACTTGTACTGAGTAGAAAGAAGTTGTACTCAATCTCTCAGCAACTGTTGTAATTAGAAGTTCCCATAACTTCTGTAGAATACAGTGGAAGAAACATTTCTCTACAAGTTTTCACATAAAAGAAAACTATAGGCACAAGGTGTACAAGGCACACTAAAACTATTAGTAACAGTACATACAAATCTCTATACAGCTCTCATCCAGAACACTGCATGTTTGTTTCAGTTCCACACTAAAACTACAGCATTTTTCATAAATAATTCTTGAACAAGAACACCTGGATGGAATATCTAATTCCAAGATTTACTAGAGCAAATGATGAAGATTTTTATCTTCAAAATTCTGCATTTAAAACTAATGAACATGCTATTGATGATGTGGATATAAATTTGTATCTTACTAGTTCAAGATGACAGTGCAATGAGATCAAATCTTTGTGCAAAGCTTGAAATCAAGCACTGAGAAACATTTTGCCTTGCAAAATTACTATTTAAGTTCCACCTATGGCAGAAGTTGAAGTCCAGTGCATGAACTTACCTGTTAACACAGAAATATTGATAATTTTCAGGATTGAGTGCACCAAAGTATTGGGCTGGAGCTGATCTAGCTGCACATACCGAACATCATCCAGTCTCTGAACTTGTCTTTGTGGAATGTCTCTGAAGTGTGGAAATTCTGATGATAGGTATGCCAATAAGCCATGCAGAACACCATCATCCACTAGAGAATAAACTTACATGGAAAAAAGGCAAAGTCACACACTGCTTTTTATGCTTAGAAGTATAAAACTTGTAACTTGGAACATGTTTACACTGAAAAAATCAGAAGTTTTAGAATAATTTTAAAGTTAGAAATTCCTGAGATAAATAACCCTTGATTTGAAATTAAACTGTACTTCAGGGTAGTATCAAGAGGAGGCAGATGAAGTTAAGCCAAGTGCAATACTTTAAAAGACACCAAAAAAATCCTGTATCATAGCTTGGTAAAAAGAAAGCTGGTTTTGGTCATTGACCTCAGAATCTGCCTTAAGAGCTAGCATCACAACACTGGACATCACAAAGACAGGAAAACAATGGTGATACTTCCACAGTATTTTCCCCTCAGTCTCCAACCCTCCTTTCATTTCCCTGAATGGATCTACTTACTCCATTTTGCAAACAAGTTAATCCTCATGCAATCTCAGACATCACATGGGCAGGTCCTGGGATAACTGCTCTTTCCTAAACTAAACTAATTTTTTTTTTTTTTTTTTTGAGTTCAGAGTGGTAGTCACCAAACTTTATCATGATCTCCACATGCCTATCTGATGCCACGTCCACATCTTGAGCTCAGTGTTCCTGTCACATTTTTCTATTGTGTTTTGGACCTCTCAGTTGCACACATTTCTATTTTACCCTATGTGTGAGGCATTGCCAGCAAAATGGAGCACTTGAAATAGCTCTTTTATTGTGATTTTCATTGGCAACTTATGCAATACAATCTTACATTTTTCTGCATTGAGAGCTGAGCAGTTCCCCAGATTCAGTAACTGACTGGTAAATGTTGACTGAAGCATGACCTCTCCACACCAAGGGTTCTCATACATTATTATATCTGCAAGAAAAAAACAACTTTATCAACTCCCATGTCAACAATACTGAAGTGTATAATATTTCTCTTGACTATGTAACTGTCTTACATACAGATGTGTAAGGCACAGGGTATGAAAGAGAACACTTGGAAACACAATGATTATTTTATTTTAATCTACCAACACCATTTACAAGGAGTTAGTAAAATTTTCTCATCAATTTGATATAATTCTTAAATTCATTAGCCTCCTAGCAGACACTGCTTAGGTCTGGTTTGTAGCAGCACTTGTACTTTCCAGGAACAACTCTTTGAAAACACTGACACCTTACAGAATGGCCCTGACTCTCATGGCTGTGTTTGAGGGCAAACTCCCATGGAATAGTCAATGTCGCACTGCCAGGATGAATGAGAACTCAGTGATGTAAGTAAGCAACTTACAAATGTTTAGCCATAGTTCCAAATGACTTGTTACATTTATCTACTTTTAACAGGCATTTTTAAGATCCATATTTTAAAAAGGCAAACAAAAGAACTCTCACCTGTAAGCAGTACAATATCCCCAGGAAACACAGTGAGGGACCAAAATGCAGCATCACGCCACAGCACCACCTTTCTCTCAATTTCTGACTCGTCAGTAACAACAATTGTTGCCACAGGAACTTTACATGAAGATTTTGGTTTAGTCTTCTTCTGTATTTCTTTGATATGACAAGGATGTACGACTGCAACCAAAATATTGTACTTTTGATTTTTGCTGCAGCAATTTTTAAGTTGTGATAGTTTCTTTTGGAGTTTCTTGAACTCTGCCATCCTGTCTGGATCCACTCTCACCCCAGAACCAGGTGGAGAAGAATTCAGTTTAGCTCTCTTGGATTTCAGCTGTCTTCTAAATGCTGAGTGAGAAAGATGAAAGGAATCTTCATGCTTGCGGGGTCTTTTAGAAAAGTTCTTGTGAGAACAGCTCCCTTGAGAGCACAGTGTCCCAGAGCTCAATGGCTCTATATGGATTTCATTTACAAGTTCCTCAGCAGGAACATTAAGTTCCTGAAGCTTTTCTGCATTTTCCTGAGCACTTTCTTCCTGTTTTATAGCTTTAATAGAAACATTTTCCCCATCATCCTCAGAACTGAAGAGTTCAAGTGAACTCGCATCCTCTTCCTCATACTCATTTTCAGTAACAGTAGTAGTACATGTTCCAACACCAGAATCACACTGGAAGTGATCATACTGTCCTTCTTCAGCTTTTTTGCCTGCTTCTATTTCTGATAGTTTTACAATTCTTTCCTGCATCTCATCCTGTGCAGAAACAGCCACCCGACTCAAAGTCACGACACTACGAAACTCAGTGTCTGCTGACACTGCAAAGCCTGCACAGTCATTTGGCTCTTTTGGCTTGGACTCCTGACCTTTTTGGAAAAGCACATCCATACCCTGACTCAGATGTTCATGATGCTCACTTCTGTGAGCTGCCTCAAGTCCCACAGACTGCAGGTGGATGCTGACCTGCTCAGTGCTGGCAACCAAAGCAGAAATGTTGGTGCTGTCATCTTCTGGAGGACAGGCTTTTATCTCAGTGAGCTCTGGGCAGCAGGCACCTGATGGCTTCTCTTGTCCAGCTGACTCTGCACAGCCCTGGGGCAGGTGCTGATCTGCAGCCTGATTTACATCTGCAATTCTGTCTTTGGGTTCCTCACAATCAGAGCAAGTTAAACCTGGGCTCTTTTTAGGCGCGCAGTTTAGCGCCACAGGGGCAGGAGCTGGCAAATCTTTTCCTTCTTTAGCCCTGGCCGTGCCCTGCTGAGCTCGGGCCCCGCTGGCGGGGACCCCCGTGGGTGCGGAGCTCCCTGCCTGGGGCACGGAGGGGGCAGCGGCAGCGCGGGGCCCCGCAGGAACAGAGCCAGGGCTGCGGCACAACCAGCGCAGCTCCCTCCAGCGCTTACCAGCAGCGGCCCAGCTCGGCTCCAGCCCCGGGATGCTGGGCGCCCCCACAAAAACATGAATCTCAGCTCTTTGGGACATTTTTCACTGCTGTGTAAGTTTGACTTTAAATAATGTGGTTTATACAATAAGCACAATAATAAATATCAGCAGATGCAAAAAAAAAAAAAAATTTACTTTTTCTTTGCAATTTTAAAAACACCTAAAATTCATGGGAATATTTCATAGTTTAACTGGTAAAAACACTACTTAACTACTTAGAGCCTATAAAAACAGATATACAAAATCTAAAAAAGGGAATTTATTTTAGAAATATTCAGCACCTATTTCTGTCAAATTTGCACAGAAAAATAAATTTACAGCAACACCTAGTTTCTGATTCTGATACATGGAAACACATTATAGTGAAGTTAAATTTAATTATTGACCTATTTGTCTTCATTTACTATTGCTAATCAAACAGTCAAATGTGACTTGACTATTCAGTACTTGATTTTAACCCTTCTGAAATAAATGTAAGAAATCTTCACAGCACGGTTAGGAGATCATTTCATCTCCCAGAAAATTACAGTTTCAACTAAATTATTAAAACACTAGAGATATTTAAAATTAAAGTTTGCTAGAAATGCCATATTTTACATGCTGTTTTGGCATGAAACTACTGTTTCAGGCTATTACTGATAAATAAAAATTATTTAATAACCACTAAGAGGTCAGTAAAGTTTGAGCAGGTGATTTAGGATTTGCTTTAATTCATTTATGTAGTACCAAACTACTCAAGTAATTACTACCTTTTCTAGCTAATTAAAAATAAGCCCACTTACACAGCACGCAAAAAGAAGACCTTTGATTTTTTAAAATATCTGCTGTATAATTATAATTTTAATATATGCAGAAACAGCTATGACTGTTCCCTACAATGCTGATAACAGCTCCTTGGTTTGGGTGTGCTGTTGCTAACAGAAGTTGCTTCAATAGGCAATTCTGCAGATGTAGAGAACACCAGAAAAAATTCAAGAGCCAATCCAGCTGTAAATAGAAGAAAAAGACCATTGAAACAAATGCAGTATAGAAAAATAAGCAAATTTTTCATTTAGCACTAATTAAATTAGCAACCATTTTCCTAACAACCCCACTAGGGGTCAATAAATCTGCACATTCACAAGGCTCATTTTCACATGGAAAACTCATAAACACTCCAAAATAGTGATCTCTGGTACATGATTGCTGTCACTGGAAAAGCAATATGCATCACTAAAATTAGGGTAAAATACAAAGAAGCTACAAAACCCAATGACTAGTACTGGTCACTTTTATGCTCATAACCAAATAAATACCACTTAAAACACTGGAGTGTTCAAACTTCTGCAATTGCACATTTAAATTTAGTTCCAGAAAATGGTAACTTTTAAAAGTCAATGCCCAAAGCTGTGAAAGCTTTGAGTTCTATAAAGAATGGTAATATACAAATAACCAGAAGAACAGAATTTACAGTCAACACTAAAGTAGTGGATCAGGTAAGGGAAAGCTCAAGCAGTGGTAGTGAGGTTGAATCCCTAAAGAAGTCATGTTGATAAGTTTTGTAGAAAAAAGGCTACCAATACATAATGTAAAAAGCTGAGCAACAGGTCTGTGACAAATAGAAAATATTACTATCAGTTCAAATGAACTTAGTAAATGTCCAGTTATATAGCAATTTATCAGCCCCTTATTTTAAGTATCACTTCTCTTTTGCTTGTTGACATGTTTAAAGGTTCATAAGTTACAAAAAAATTCAGAAAGTTTTCCTTAATTTCCAGTTCTGTAACTTCTCTAAACTTAGGATTTGCTTTGCTGATCCCATTTTGCAGTGCCAGTACATTAAGGCCAGGTTGGATGGGGCCCTGAGCAACTTGGCCTAGTGAAACATGCCCATGGCACAGGGTCTGGAACTTGATGATTTTTAAGAGCCTTTCCAACCTGGGCTGTTCTAAGATTCTATGATCACACCAAAGGAATTGAATCTTGATGTTGTTTAATGAATGTTTGCAATTAAAATACAGTTTATATTTTCAAAACATAAATTACCTTAGGAATGGTAAATGACCTCTCCCAACTCTGATTCGTGTAATAGGTCCACTACTAATGACCTGTTCTGGCAATTTCCAAGGGACTTTTTGAGTCAAAGATGTCAAACTCCTTCCTGCACCAGGAATCATCAGTACCTAAAATCATTCTGAGTCTGTAAATCAGAAAGAAAAAAAAAATAAAGTTTGCCTAAATTCTCTGTGAGCAAAATAACTGTTGCTTTGCTGCTTCAGAACAGAATTACTACCCACTTAATGAGTTTTGATAGTGAAGTTCCACACCTTGTTATAAATAAAAGTCTGAAAGAACAATTCACTTCAGATTTTAAAAGGTGAGCTAAAAATCTAACAATTATTTTAGAAAAATTCTACTGCCACAAAAAAAAAAAAAATCCATTTTATACTGCAGTTAAATTATCAGTGGGCAGACAGTGGCTTAACTAACTACACAAAAGATAACAAGAGCTAAAACTCATGAAGATACACCTGAAACCTGAATGCACATATCCATTATACCTGTTAATTATTACACCATTTCCTAATTTGTGGAAAGGTGCTCTATTCCTAGCAGCCAATGACAGCCAAGCTTTTTATCTCTGAAATGGTCAGAGTCTGATTGACGGGTCAATGATCTATTAAAAAACAGTAACTACATCAGCAAGTTTTGTATTTGCAAGGCACTGCAACTGAGGTTTAATATACAGAAATATATCATGCTACATAGTCTATTTCCTCCAATCTAAACAGTAAGACAGGAATTCTAAATTTAAAGGTTTTTAAACCAGACTGCAACAGATTGTTTATATCTAGTGATCTAGTGCACATAGAATAAAAGTAAAAATAGCTTTAAAAATTCTCTTCCCTCTAGAAATATTCTGATGCTACGTACACAACCTTAAAGTATCCCTAAAATACCCTAAAAATACTCATCAATTTTATTCCATATTTTTCTATTCATTAATAGTATTTACTCACCATGATAATTATTAAGCATTATGCCAAGGTAATTTAAAAGGGTGACACAGGTTCAGCTTTCTATAATTCCTGAATATTCCCAGTAGCCACATGCCTAATCTCCATTCTGAGAATTTACATGTAAATAGCCCCATCAAGTCTTTACTCAAGCCCTGTACCCTAAAAGTAAACCACACTAATTCAACCTCCAGTTAACAGTTTCTCTATGTCTGTAATACACCACAAAGTTTCAAACTACAAATAAAATTCCAGAAGCAAAAGACAGTAATGCATCAGAAGACAAAGAACTATACCAATATAAGGCAAAAGTGCACTTTCTCCTCTAGAAATGCTTAAGTTTTAGGAGACAAAAAGTGTATTCTTTTACTTCCTGCTTTGATTTGCTGCAGCTTAATGATGAACATCCTAAATGGTAAGTGGTTCATGACTTGACCCCTAAAATTTGCAAAAAAACATTACAATTGTCCTTTACCTGCTGAAAAGCTGGTAATAAAGTAAGTAATAAATACATAAAGTAGGATATTTCTTAAATTCTAAATTTTAATTTCTATTGTGGACTTCATCCTTCCTTATTCACATACTTCACTTTATACTCCTCCTACATGTAGTATAAAAAATTAAAGGATTGATTCATCTACCTTACAACAGAGGAAACTGAATTATTCATAGCCATCTTCAGAGTGTTCCTTTTCAGTTCAATTCAAGCTGCAGGGTTGTTTTTTCAACAACTTAATCCATGTGATTGTGGCGTAGAAAAGCTACTAGGACAGTTGCCAACCAAAGGGAAACCAGAAAAACTTCTTGGTGCAGAATTCTGTTCACATCACAGGAAACTCTTCTGGCACTTTCACCATGCTGCTCAAATCTCCCTCCAAAACTCAATGTGATCTTTTTAAAAAGCCAGGGACTGCAGCTGTACAGCAACTTTGAAAGAAGACATAGCAAGCAGTGTAGTAACAGTTTCATACACTGAGAAACCGAAACAACTCTGGAATGGTGAGGAATGCATTACATGTTTGCTTGCAACTTGTGCAAGAAAAAGGGAGATCCTTCTGCCAACAACTCCTGCTGGCACTGCAAGTGAATCAATACACCAGCAACAGCACCTATCTACTAAATCAATAAGCTTGGTCCAAATACAGAATGAGAGGAACACAATGGCAAATAAAAACTGACAGCAGAACTCAAGCTAAGCACCTTGCAGCTGAAGCAAACTCACTCTGCCTCAGAGCAAGGGATGCATCATGTGGGTTCCAAAGAAGATGCTCTGTGTCAGTGAATGGCAGCTCAAGGATTACATGGATTGCAGCAGCCCAGGCTGGTGGCACCTCACAAGAATTCAAGGGAACACAGATGTGGGAGAACACAAACATCCACATGCTCAACTGGGGAAATCAACAGAACAGGTCTTATTTCTGTCATCTGTTGTTTGGTGATTGTTACAAGCACCTTTTATCTGAATTTTCATCCAAGGTTTCAGGCAAAGACCGTAGTCCTGTCCATAACTGCCCTGCCTAACCAAATGCAGGTTAGGCAGGATGATCATTTGGCTCACACAGTAACACTGTTAGCACATGGAATATTGCACAGGGGCTGCTTCAACCACACCTGGTGGTATGGCAAGAACCCTGCTAGCTGATACCAAAATTACTGAAAATCACAAGCCTTCATTTGCATACAGCAGTATCTGTAATTAGTATAAAGTTACTTCTAAATGAGGTACTTAGGTTATTATTAACCAGAAAATAACTTCCATTAGTACCTACTATTGAAGTTACATAGCAGCATTCAGTATTTAGTTCTCCTCACTGGCTATTGCCAGAGGACCACAATACCATTTGGACTCAAGACAGGTACAGCTGGTTTACAGGTACACAAAACCTGTATTCAGCAATACCTAGCCATAAAACACCAGGTATCCTTTTTTCTTTTCCTTATTTGGAGCACTTTAAGTAACAAGATGATTTTTAGAAGAGAACACATATGGTATAGGTAACACAATAGAAACCTTCCTAAATACTCCTGCAGCAGCAGAAAAATAATTTAAACCAGAAATCAAGGTTCTAAGCAGTTCCATAGCCTAACACTGTAAAAAATGTTAAATTGAAATACTGAGGAAGAAAAGGCAAGTTGTTCTTCATAACTATTATTATACAAAAAGAAGGCAAGCAATCAAATGGCATTGCTATTGCTAATATTTAATGTGTACCTACTTGCCAGCAGAATCAGCCTGTGGTTTCTAAAGCTGTGCTCTAGAAGGAAAATATTTCCCTGGATATGAAATGAAGACATTCCTTCTGTAAATACAATCTTGGATCATATAAAAAAGGCATCTACTGAGCAGTTGCATCAGCCATTTTATTTTCCCATTATTATTTTTTGGAACCAAATGATGCAAAAATCTGAACACTAATTATAGATTTCCAATTCAGCCACTGAGATATCATCTTCATTGTGTTTGAAAATTGGAGTAAAGGTGGTAGGCTTTTGTGATTAACTTGATAATTCCTGCCTCACAGCCTTTGTGCTTTTCAAGATGGCCCCTTAAGTAAATTTATTTATTGATTTTTGTTTTGCAATACACAAAAACATATAATTAAGGAGATATGAGCATCCAGTGGCTGCTACAAACAAAAATAGTCAAAAGTTCTAGAGAACACTGACCTTATGAGCAGAAAAGGAAGATAAAGGTAAAAGGTCAAAGATACACAAACGTGCCATGCACGTTTAGTTGAAGAACACTCATTCCCCAAACCCTTATTTCTGAGAACTATTTAAACAACTAAACTGCTATACCTTCTGTCAAGAAAGATATTGTTCCATATATTTCAGCATATTAAAATATTAGAACGGCATCATTGTGGCTTTTTTTACAAAAACTATTTAGTTTGCAGAAAATTTTCCACAGGTATCATTACCAATGAAAATCTATGTTGGGACTGACAAACAGAGGTGGATAAAGCAATACAGGACCTAAGATGAAAGCAAGGTAACTGGTCAAAGAAACATCAGAACAGCCAGATCTCCATCAGATTAACTGCTGGTAGATTTCACTTATTAGGATCAGGAGATATATATATATATATATAAAAATATTTAAAATACAAAGCCACCAATATTATTTTCCCATCTTTACAAAAACCTTACTCAAAAAAGATGAAGTTTCATAATGAAAACCTGGATGCTGACTGCATGCTCATAGTAAAAAATGGGATATTGTCACTGTTTTGGACAACAGCCATAGGTAAGACTGTCCTGCTTTTGTGCTGTGGGAGACAGGGTGTTGAAAAGGTGTAATTCTTAAGTTTACCATGTAAAATAATCTATTTTATTTCCATGTAAGTAATCTACTAGTGCCAGGAAAATGTCTTTCACTCCCCACCACAAGGGGTTAAGTTAGCAACAGACCTGAGCAGAAGCTGCACTTCCTCTTGCCTTTAAGACAAGTGGGATATTTCTCATTTGTCAGCATCATGAAACAATTCAAGTTCACTGTCTGCCAACTGAAAAAATCAGTCACTCACTCCAAGAAGTCACACTGGAGCACACAAGTCATCACTACATCAAGTCATTTCCCAGGGCTGTTCAAAACTACAGCTGCCACACGAGCCCACAAGACACTTTTAGAGCAACAGCTCAATCATGACTTCATTCACTTCATCACTGGCTAGAGAGGACCCCTGCAGAGGAGCAAACATTTCACCTTGCTGCAAACATAAATGGCAGCAAGTACTTGTCGTCAGGACTGAACCTATGGCACCAGAGCTATCTAACTCCCATGCCAAGCCACACTGTGCACATTTATCTGTGCCTCAAGTGTGCAGCTACACCCTCTATGTGGCATCATCAGGTTCAAAGGAGCTGGCAATCCATTCCAATCAACAGCTGATCTCCTCAGTACTTCCATATCTGCCTTTACACATTTCTACAGAACCAGTGCCTCAACAGAAAAGTTCAAACACATGGTTTTGAGGTGAGCATTGTAATTTAAACAAAACTCTTGAGAGACATTAACTACATGTTAGTATGACAGTAATGACTTCTATATCCAAATCTAGAATTTCAGTTCTTGTAAAGGCAAAAGATTGTGTTAATATTTCTCTTTTGCACACACCCCAAGAATACACTTCAGCTGTAAGTGAAAAGGATTTGCTCTTCTATCTGTAAGTCAAGAAGTTTAAGATTTTTTAAGAGATAAAGTTCCCTTAAGGAAACAACCTTCAGACTTGGGCCAAACTGTCCCTGTGCACTGGTGAAGAGCATTGCAAAGATCACTGATGGTTCACTGCCCACACTTGCTCCTTGTTGTGGCCACAGAAGGAACACACCTCCCACCTTCTCTGCACAACTGCAGGAACGTCAAACACTCTTCCATGGCTATTCCAGTCAGTGTAAAGTTGTTAATTTACTAGGGCACTGCAGGAAAACAGGACAAAAAATTCAGATTATTTTAAGTGAGTGAGAACTACAGTGAATCATCTGGAAACAAAGTTTTCAAGTCTTCTGGCATTTATTTAGGAAAAAAAATAAGTTATGATAACTAATGAAAATTAGCATTAGCTTTTTAATATATAAGCCTTTACATTTCAATGGTTTAGATGGATGTTAGTTTAGCAAACTGGTTAAGCTTTAACAGGGAACAGGTGACACTGAGTAACTATCAACATAGCTGACTGAGCCAAAGGTGCCTTTTAGATGCAAATTTCCTTATTTCAAGAGGTAGCTTTTCTCTCAGACTAAGGACAGCAATGCACTTTGATTATTTATTAAAAGTAATTTGACTTTTGATTATACTTCAAAAAATCGAAGATCACAATTTCCGTCCTACTGTGCTCCAAAAAGTTAAAGGAAATCATCACAATTCAACAAAATGTGAATGAAGTGCACTAATTAAATGCCAGAAACACTGATGTGGCCTGTACCCTTTTCCATGGTAATTCAGTTGTCTGAAAACACCTCAAGAACAATCAAAAAACTCAAGGTATGATGTAACAAATCATCCTGGGTCTCCCTCTACTGTTCCAAGCCATAGTGTGTAGCAGCAGGGCACAGCTGCATAACCCCTGGTAAAAACCTTCGTGTACCTTTGCTCTCACTCAAAGCACATCATTTTCTTCACTGTTTTTGTTCAAGGCAATACCTCAATTATTATCTGTACTGTGCTATTGTTGCTGTGTACCTTCACTCAGCTGCCTTTGATTCAGTAACTTTTATAAATGGTTTTATTACTTGCAGTACTACATAGTTGTGCCTCTGAAATTTTAAGTTGTTTAACTTCCAAAGCTCCTGAAGCATGAACAGCTGAGGATGGAAACTAAAGATTTATCTATTTATTCATTTGTCTTCTTGCAGAAGCTGCTCCAATCTGAAGCAAAACTATAAATGGATTCTTTCTGCAATATAATGCAAAGAGAGTAGAGATTATAAAGAAATGGCCACCTCATAGTTTAACACCTTCTGTATTGGAACTGCAATCCTCTTGGCAAATGCAATTCTTTCTGTCTGCCCGGTGTTGCAAGTTCTATACTTGATTTTCACTAGAATAGAAACAACAGGACTGATGTACACAAGGCCAATACTGGCTAGTATTAGCATATTCTTTATCCAGAAAACCATGTGAGCTGCTATACAAAGCTAAAATCACAAAAATCTCCAAAACATTTTTTGAAAAACACTCGCAGGAAGTTTTCACATAGAACAGAAGCGACAGTGCCAGCGTTAGAAATCCATCTTTTTAACAGGAGCTCTATTTAATGCCCCAACCCACAAATGAGTTTGGCACTAAGGTGGCTCTGAAGAGTGTCCAGTGACCCACCCTTACTCCATGCCAAGTGACATCACCTACAGAAGGACAGCTACTGCTCTGTGTGACTTGTGGTGCTTCAGTGCCACACACATGCACCTGAATTGTACATTCTGCAAAAACACCAGAGAGGAAAATTAGAGGTGAAGAAACACAAGGAATTTGCAATCCATTCCATATTGAAGTACTCTTTGTATCCAGCTAATGATTTGAGTGACTCCAGGTTTAACTTGCTTGTGTTAGGAAGCACATGGAATATAAGTGAACAGCCTTTGGTATTATTGAGCATATGACAGTAAATACATATTGGTTTTCCTTCCAATAAATTTCACATTAAAAGTTGTTTATGTGAGCTTACTTTAAAAGACTTGAAAATTAGCAGATAAAGCAGAAAACCCAAAAAGCTATTACACTAAACATGTGACCCATTATCTTTCTCTAGAGATTAGTAATCTTTACAACAGACCAGAGATACAGGAATTCAGAAAGCAGTACAGTTTGTTCTACCTTGGCTAATGCTCTGAATTACCTGACATTGCATTCCAAGAACTACAGCTACATTAACATTACATTTTATATTAATCTTTATCTTGCAGGTCAAACTAACATATCATCTAAATGAGTGCCCGTTTAGGAGCCACGTGCTAATAAAAAACATTAAGTGAGGTATGGCAACAGTTCATGCAAAACATTATGAAACATTGGAGCAGAAGAAAAATTTGACAAAAATAAAAGACATAAAACTAAACCACTAAGACATCATCTTTGTCAGCACAAAACTAAAAAGCAGCAAATGGAGATTTAGTTTATATGATGGAAACCAAATTAAAAAATAATTGAAGGCATGTTTTCAAAAATAAAGAGAGCATTCATTCAGTAAATACAAGGTATTCAGAGACAAGTGAGAATCAAAATATTAACAAACTTCTCTCAACAGGAACTTCATGACATTAGAATATATAAACAATAGATTATGAACTTCAGCTGCCAACAGTAAAACCATGCAGAAAACTGAACAGTCTGATCAGAGTGAGAAAAAAATTAGTAAATGGTGGGTATGGATGGAAAGTTTCACAAAATGAGCAAGTGCAACCACTTGATTTGATGAAGCTGAAAAGAAAAAAATCCAAAATGTTCACTAAAATGGCATTCCTCATTAAAAATGCAAATACAGAAGAGGGAAGAGGTAAGCTAATAAGAATTAAGAACTGTGCAATCATAGTACATAGTTTTTCAGTCCCTCATACATTATGATGTTACCTGTCACTTCTTCCTCTATGTGGCAAACAAGTAAGTTTTACTTTCCAGCTCTGAAGGAAGTAAAGATTCCAACCCCACATGGGAAGCAGCTGTCAAGTCCCTTTACCTATGCTTATCCCTTTCACTGGGGAAACACAGTGTTCAAAAAACAAGCACTCACATTTTACATCCAGGGAAGTTTAAAGGATAAAGTTCTGATCCTGGAAGCTGCTCTGTGCAGTTCCCCTCTCCAGGCAGCTCTGAAGTGCCAAACTGTTCTCAGCTTTCCCTGGAGCATGCAAACAGGGAGAAGGAAGCTGTCCATCAGCAGCATTCTCCACTGCTTAGCACTGCAAAGCCACTGGCACTGTACTGCTGGACACAACAGTGCTGACATGCAAAGCTTTTCCTCTTCAAACAGAGCCCAGCTCCTTAAGACTTTGAGTATAGAAAAAGTGAAAGCCCCTTAAAAATGTCTTGACTCACACTCACCTTTCAAGAATGAAAATTTCACTCTTGCAGCCAACATCAGTATTTTAGAAAGATGTGGGGAAACTTCACCCAAATAGGTCAAACTCTATTCTTTCAAATTCTCAATAGCTCATCTTCTATAAATCAAAATACAGTTTAGCAGGGACTGAAGCTGTTCCAATGTAGAGGTTATCTGGGCTTTTCCACATTACACTGGCGTTCCAGAGCCATGACAGAAATTTGCCACCATGCTTCACATTAATAAGAGCACTCATGATACTTGAAGAGTAGCTCCAGCCCATTATTCTAAAACTTAAGTAGTGACTTCTCAGCTCAGGAACTGGATGTCAAGAGCAGAAAGCTTGCCACTGATTTTTGGGATCAGTACTGCTTTCCCAGCACTGATGCAATAAGGGCTTTGAGCCTATTGAAAGTGTCACACCTGGAAGTCAGAGCTCTGCCTCCTAGGGCTCCTCTGCTGGACACAGGAAGGCCAGGAACAGCCCAACTGCAAAGTCTGGATTCCCCAGAGC